AGCGCCGAGAGACGCTTACTCAGCTTGCGGCGCAGGGTGTTGCTCACCTCGCCCCAACTCTTGGTGTAGGTGAACTTGTGCGGCGTGCTGGAGGAGCGGCCTCCTCCGCCGGAGAGGCCGAGCCCGCCGCTGGGGGCGTGTTCGTGTCGAGGGCTGCCAGCGCGCCGATGTCAGGCATGGCGGCGCGTTGAGCCACGAATGTTCGCCTTCACGAGCGCAGGTCTCCGCTCAAACGCTCGCGTCAGTGTCCGAGACCCAGCGGCGCAGTTCCGAGGTCCCAGCAGTGCAGTGTCCGAGGTCCGAGCGGCGCAGTGTCCGAGGTCCGAGCGGCGCAGTGTCCAAGACCGCGGCGCAGTGTCCGAGGTCCGAGCGGTGCAGTGTCCGACCGAGAGCGCAGTGTCCGAGGTCGAGCGGCGCAGTGTCCGAGGTCCGAGCGGCGCAGTGCCGAGGCCCCAGCGTACCGTCAGTCAGCAGTCTGGCGCTTTGACCAGCGCTCTGCGGCTGCGACCCGACCATGCAGTTCTGACCTGCGGTATGTGGTCCGGACAGCGCTGCGAGAGCGCGTCACTCGGCGTGGTCTCGTTTCCCGCACTCGTCGTTCCACACTCGCCACGCCACTGGCCGGCAGATCGGCCGGAGTGACTCTAGGAGCTCCGTGACCGCCTCCTCCTCGCCGTACAGTCTCAGACACGGCGTCGGCTGGCGTCCTAACGGTGCGCCAGTGTGTGGAGGAGCGATTCGTCGCCTCCGGAGGGTGTATCGCGTCTGGTCGGCATTGGACGGTCACGTACTCTGTGACGGCTAACGCCACTCGTGATACAGACTGATCCAGTTATTTGCGATCATTGCGGTGTTTTTCTCTTGGCGTGACTGTTCTGGAACCAGTGCTTTCACATAGAAACTTGTGTGAGCTTTATTTTTGGAAAGGCGTTGTGTTCTAGCAGATATTGATGACTGTTATTTATGTTCATTCATCATCTCCTTGTAAGGTCGTGAAAATCTGCTTATGAACCCGCAGTTCTCAACATGGTTGCAAGAAACATTACAGTTCGTCATAGATCTGGACCAGGCAATAATTTTTCCTTCCTTCTCAACACGTAAAATTAGTTCGATCCAAGTTAGATATACTGTTGTTGACAGAAAGTCACAAACGTAAAGAAAAACGCCTAACAATTGTAACTCACACAGAAAAGACCCCCCCCCCCCCCCATAAAACCACGCGCCTCTGTAAGTTGTTTTTTTAACTGCAAACCGATAATTGCCCGTGAAAGGTACACTTCCGTCAAAAATTTGGAACTTCATACTTTGTAAGACGCTAAACTACCTTGCTTTATTGAAAGGTAGTCGTCAGACCACCCTTCCCTGCCACTTCTACAGCTTTGGTGAATCGATACAGCTGCTATTGACCGCTATCCACATAACCTCCGCCCCCCAAAAAAAACAACAAAGAAACACCGAGCCAGATGGTAAAAAGATTGACTGTTTGCGTAAGCTATGTCCTAAGCTAAGTGTTTATGTTCGGTGTGTTGCTTTTGCTTCGTTCTTGTGTTGTTGTTACGGGACAATAAATAAATGATTATGATGATGATGATGATAAAATGTAATTTCCCAAAGACACACTATTTGGTAGTGCTACATGCGATTTGTCGACCGTCCTCCATGCTGCAGAGCTCGTACCAAATAGGATTGGTGCAGCTTGGTTGGACTGTGCTTAACGAGCAACACCTCTGCCACACAAAGTCCCTAAATCGAACTGTTTGCAAGAATTGAATTTGACCTGCGAAAGAGAGGACTTGACAAACTGTTTCTTTAGGGGGGATTATGAGATATTATGCTGGAAAACCACTAACCGGAGGTATATCAAGGATACTGGTTTTAAGGACGATATCAACCAATCATCGAGATCCACAATTCTTGCCTAATATCCTCATGGCATCAGTACTCCATAGCATTTTAAAGGTGGGCTATTTTCGGCACAAAGGAATCGGGGTATTGGCCGCCACGACTTTGACGCATGTGTACTTTGCTATGACAACGACACAAACAGATGTGAATGATGCTTATCTGACAACTGTAGCATTTGCATCAGTTGCAGTTGCAAATGCTACAGGTGTCAAACAGTAGCAGCATTGCATCCGTTAGGGGTGAGTGATGCACGGCACAACTCTATACGAAGTGAACCGCTAGTGCGCGGCATGCAGCAGCCGAGGGGCGGAGCGAGGCTATAAGGGACAAGCAGGGCTATTAGGGACGAGCAGCGGTTCACTGCCCTGCCGCTTGGCGGCAGAGCCTGG